TATGAGTTCACCCAAGTGTCAATCAATTTATTGGCAATTGCGAATGTACTTCTACCTTCTTTGTAATGATAAATCATACATTTTGATTTAATTTCACCTCACTGGTAGGCAGACTACATGTACGTCAACTGTAAAGTGAAGTAGATTTTAAGTTCTCTCTCTATCTCTCTCTCTCTCTCTCGTGTGGTTTAAAAATGGGGTTAACTGCACATTTTCCCTTTGTAGTACGAGTTCAGTGATACGATGAACGATGCCATATATCTACTACGACATCTCAATACTCTCTGGTACGCAAATGTCTGCCAGATAGTTTGCAAACGGTTCCAGAGACCCTTACGCCATCCACCAAGAAAAACTACTATAGAAATAAATGAGTACGTAAGCACGTGTTTAATGTTAAAACTTGACCAAAAGGGACCAAAGCATCTTCTCTGAAGTTGCTATTAATGCTACCCCCCCCCCCCTTATGTCACTGTCAAATTGTAGGGTATTAGTCAATAAGAATATCTGCTAAATGTTATTTTGATCATCTCTTGGGGAGAATTAATGGAGCCGATATCAATTTTATTGCTGTGGGAATCAAATTAAAATCTCTTTGTACTAATGACATGTCCGATACTTTTTAAAACCCAATTGTAATTATTCTGCACTATGAATATACAATTGCCAACACCCGTACAAATATAAGTAAGATGGAATGACATGTTGCCAGTGGGCTGTGCCTACTTGTCTAAGACGATAAACGTTAGTTGGGAAGCGTTCAACAAAGATATTTACGTGTAACCGAACATCTATTAAAATCTAACATAACTGGGGATACAAACTGTCCTGGTGTATGACAAATGTTTACGGCATTTCTCTCGCTATTTTGTAAATAGGGATAGGCCCAAGGGTGTATATTTCGCCAAAAGCTAGTCCCCTTGCTTGCTGATTAAGCGAGCAAAATCTAATCCTTGCGAAACCGGTGTAACAGGAATGGCAGTTTGCTAGGAACCGTAGTCCGTCCCCCAAATACTTTGTACAGCGGTACAGTTTTTCTGTATTGCACCAGGTTGTGAAATTGACAACTTTCAATGCATGCATGGTTGTTACATAAAAGATTCACCTAAACAGAGACCATGCTCGACACGACCAGTTTACAGGATAATTTTCGATTGGTATTTGAGTTTAGGCTTAATTTGTGAAAGGGAGTAAAACCCCAGTAGCGTACAATTTCACGTCAGGACCCATCAAAATGGTACTGTACAGCTCGATGTAAAAAAACATAGTATTTCGATCCCAGCAGATACGTTATCCTCCTATGATTGATCAAACAAATCACAAGAGGATTCTTTATCGCTTCTTATCAATCTTACACCGACTTCTTCGTTGATTGATGACATTTTCACTGAAAAACGTTTACAATCGTCAATATTACAGCAAAATTCGAGTCAACAGATTATCAAGAAAATAGTAATCAAATCACCATTAATTTTTTATCCTATTTTGTAATCAAGCGTCAGAGATTTGTATTTAAAAGCATACAAACGCACATGATTCATGCCCCCCCCCCTCCCCCCCGCCACTACCAACCCCCATTCTGCTGGAGACGCCATATTACTTCCAAAGCAGATATCTCTAACATCACGGGACGCTAAAATGAGTTTTCTGTGAAAATCATGCCTTCTAATATTCATTCATTATGTCAGTGTGGACAGAAAAAATTATTTTAGAAAGATAATTAAAGAAAAAAAAAGGCAGAAAGATTCCTTTCATAAATCTACTAACAAACTAGAGGGATTTGTTTCATTCGCCTCAGGTGCGGAACGTTAATTTCCCTTAATAATCCCTGAGTACTCTGAGTATTGTTGCTTTATATTTTCTACTTGAGCCAGTTATCAATGTATTTCAAAAAGCAAATTGCAAAATTGATTTTTTTTCAGCACCCGGAGATTATTTGTCAGACTTCACTTGTTTCCAAATATGTTATTACTTGTACCCTCGTTCATGGTGGTTGTTTACGTGGTATTTTTTTTCACTTTATTTACATATCGTCTTAGTGCAGGTGCGCTTTCATAGTGCTCCCTAATGCGTATGTTACTAGCCTATGTAAATATATATCCAAATAGCAAGATGCTTTGGATTTTTTCCTCGAATTACGAAAGCGTTTATTATTGCATTGTCCTGCTGATAACTAGTGACCGGTTATCTTAGTTTCATTGGTCTATCTAGGATTTTGCAGTGGGGGGTGGGGGTGGGGAGGGAAGGGGGTTTGGCTTGGGGGCCGGGGGCACAAGAATAAAAAAATATTTGACGGGCGACTCGAGGTAAATATGAAACAGTGGACGATGGTCATTTTTACTAATATAGAGGGCACGGGTATGAAAAATTTGCTTGGTTTAACCTCGTGCCGTTTGTTACGCTCTTCTACGGTAGGGAGATGGAGGCAGATGCTTAGTCTCCATTCCACGTTTTTCACTTTAACAGTATCAGTGACTGGCATTGCGCTTGAACTACACAATAGCTCAGAAGTTTGACGTCTTGATACCTACCTTTGCGCAATGGCGTGTAACTAAACCGCTCTTGTAACCATTCATCTTCCTTCAACAGTATCAAAATCAAAGAGTTAGTTAATGGGATTTTCGTTTCGTGACTTATATTTTCATCAATGCACATTATGGCATACACTGGAGTCTTAAAGGTCTGAGACTACTTTCTGGGTTTTGATTTTCTATCCAGTGATATAAAATGGCCTTTTTTACCAGAAATTAATAAGAAGCAAATGCGCTAACAAGTGGTAAACTAAGCCAATAGGCCTATAAGTAAAAATATCTCAAGAACACATTAGTGAGTAATGAGAGGCTAACACGTGCCAAACCATGAGCTCATTAAAAATCAGAGAAAACATAAATGCCAACAGGAAAACTTATGAAGTGTCCTTTCTTCCTTACTCCCTCCGATCCCCAAAGAATGGCATCTTTCGCTGCAGTGAGAGATCACTTAGCCTATATCAGTAATACAATTTGGTATTCACGGTAACCACTAGCTTTATTTGAACAAAATGGGTCAGAAATCTTTTCCAAAACAGTACTTTTCTTACAATCACTGGGAAAGATAATCGAAATATCTTAAAATGCGACATAGGTTAAAATCAGATAGTCTTGTTAACAATTCATGATAATATTTTCTGAAGAAATAAAATATAGTAAAAAACAATGTGTGCGAAATTGTGGATTTAGTACCGACAGAGACCTTTCATCATTGACGTAAATACTCGTGTTTCGTCTAATCCCAGTTCAATAATAAGCCCTTTCTGCTTTGATTTCTTCAATACGTTCAGGTAATTTCCCACAATATTCCTGGAGGCTCAGGAATTGAACAACATGCCCGATTGCACTCTATGACGTTCCGTTCTAAGAACCTTCCAGACTGTTCTTGATAAGCGGGGTAATTGAATACATTCAGTCTGTGAACAACGCACCAACAGGAAATTAGTTCATCTTTCAAAGCGAAGAACGTGATCTCTGCAAAAAGATCGTATGTTTACAAAAATATCATATATCTTTTATAATTTGCCTTTTTTACTTATTTCTTTTATCTTTCTTTATCCATTCAATGGTCTGTCAATCTAAGTTTATTTACTAAATGAAAAAATTGATTATACAAGTCACTGAAATCCATAAAAACATAAAAGCCGAAAGCTACACCACTAAGCTACTGCATCATTGCTAGATCTAAAATCAAATGCCTTATGCACCCTTTCGTCGATAGATGGTGCGTTTGCCAACATATCCCGGTGTGACAATTAAGAATGGTATTCCGCCACGAATTGTATTCAGTTTCCCATTACAGGGCCGTAGCCTCCGGGGGGGGATTTTATTTTACACTTTTGATTTGGAATTTTACACACCACACCCTCCCCCCCTCGGTAGCTTCGCCCCCCTCGTGTCCGCCTTACTGCCCCCCCCCCCCCCTGGCATTTTGCTCAGGCTACGGCCCTGCATTACCTAGTACAGGTGGCATTCACCCCATATACTAACCCCAATACTCCGACTACTTATCATACGGGACCCCGGACTATTCCTAGAACTACCGTTCCTGTTGTACACCGGTCGTTAGATAAGATGTTCATTCACGAGTCTCCAAATTACAGCGAATATAAGAAATAGATGTTCGATCTCTTGCAAAAACAAGCATTTCCCGAAGAAAATGAACAGAAGTTTGACAATTGATACAGAGTAATGCCTGCAAAATTTAAGACTTCTGATTTTTGTCTTAGTCGCTGTAATCAAGTGAAGCAATCAAGACGAATAGAAAACCATTATAAAACACTTGCAAAACTTACAAATAGCAATCCAATCTCTATTATATGTGGATTTTTTAATTTGTATATTAAAAGCTGAAGAAACCATCCTCTTGTCTTAACACCGGTAATTCAACTCGCAATGTCCAGAGTGCACCGCATTTATCAAGTGTCGCTCGGAACACAATCAGCCATAGAAACAGCGCCGCTTTAAAACGAACCAAAATTGGCTTAAATGAAAATCGCGGTAAGATAAATGTGTTACTTAAACGAGTCAAAATGACCACTTTTCTTAGAATTAAGCATGTCCGAGGATGAAGTATAATCGCTGTGGTGAAGGTTAACTATTGACCACGCAAACTGAGCACCGAGGGCTTACAAAAAGGACACAGAACACATTAAAAATAATGGGAAAGGTCTTTTCGAGGGCATTTACGGACCTTACGGTAGAGTGAGGGGTATTCTTGGTGCGTATTTCTACTTGGGCGTACGATGTTTTTACTCGGCGAGATCAACAGCTTTCGGTAACGGTCACTAAAATGAATAATTGTTCAATTACGTGCATTCAAGGTTTTATCGTTAGTGCACTAAATGTCAATTAACTGCCCGTTGTGCTTAGAGGGAATGCATAAATTAATGGCTTGATATACTATTACTCTATCAGAAATGTAAGCACAGCTCAAATTAACTCTTAAAGCCTGATAAACAACAGTAAGACTTTCAGTCAAGCATATAATATTCATCGTTTATAGCCATAACTTTACATAATTACAAAAAAGGGCAATATGTAAGCGCTTGTTCCCGATGACAAACTGTCTTTTATAACATATCAAATTTATTACTTTCTTTTAACCAGAATTTTCTAGCATGGTTCTCAAACTTCCAACTTCACTTTTCCCCCCAAGGATTATTCAGTTCTTTCTTGTCAAACTATTTTACAGTTAGTATTTGTTCGACGTAAGGCAATCAAGGGTTCAATTTAATTAACCTCTTTCTTTGTGATACAGCAACTTAATCCTACTAAAAACCCCAACCCCCTAATATATTATGCTTAAAGAAATTAACTATAAAAAGTTAATAAAACTTAATCTAATAAACTAATAGTTAACTTCATCCATTGTAAAGTTTATAAATATAACGTGTACTAGACAACCGCGAGATGGCAAGGTACTAATGCTAGCTACAATCAATTGCGTTTGTGGAGAAAGCCATTTGACATCTTTTGCCACATTGCGCAAAATGTTCTGGTCGGTTCCAAGCTCATTGTGTTAGTTGTGACATTGGTTGTGACATCCCGATTTTGTCAACTTTTTTTTTCGTGTACGGTTCTATTGTGTTCAATGTTATGATAGTGACACCAATAGCTGACAGTGCATGCCACAGACCACACATTTTCTCATTTTAGGTTCTGAATACTATCATAGTAGGTATTTTATAAAAAACAGTATTTTTATTATCCATTCTGTTAGTCCTTCACTGTGAATTGTATCGTTTCATAAAAAAACTCCTGTATTGCAGTGTGTGTGATAGCTTATTGTGTTAGGTGTGACAGAGTCCATTGTGTTTGGTGTGACGCTTTCGACTGCAGCCATAGCTACACGCAGTCCTCCATCGACATCAACAACGGATTGATGTACTCAAAGCCTTCGAATTCTGTTTGATCAATCTTGGAAATTATTTTTCTGTAAAGAAATAAAGTAGTTGGATCATGATATATTTCAAGAAACTGCATGAAAAGTCTAAGTAAGGTCAGAGAAATGCTTGATTGATTTAATGAATAGACTGAAGGTCTCTACTAATTTCTTTCCAGCCTCTCATAGAGTTGTTCTGGATAAATTATCCTGCCCAATTTTTTCAATAATTTCTTCCTTTTTTTGTAAAGTGATTACAATCTAGCTGTCCAAAATGGAAACATGTTTCACAAATTTCTTATAAATAAAAACAAGGTCTATTAAAACACTCACGTGTCATCTGGTGTAAGCTGTACTGGTTCATTAGTAAACTGTGGATCGAAGTGCTCCAAATCACGTTCGTCTTTCACGTGGGGTTTATAGGGTGGTGTCACCTGCTTCTTTTCAAGGAGGTCCCAATCGATTGGTCGATAAAATGGATGTGACTGTATATCGGCAAAGCCGGTCTGTGGGTGACAGCCAAGGCGCTCTTGTGGATTCTGAATAGAAAACAAAAAGTTGTACATGGAGAAGATTTTATCAACAAGTCTTTCAAATATAGACCTGACCTATTCAAATAAAGCAATGGTAGTTCAAAATCAATATAGTGATCAAAATTAATTAAAGCAGCAAATTTGATGCTAGTAAGATTATTTTATAAAGTGTTCTAACATGAGGCTAGTTTAGGGCTTACCACATGTCAACATACACTAGAGTTGACAGAAATAAGACTCAGCAAATAAAGCCCAGTGAAAAGTATCTCTGACGTCCTGACAACCCCACACAGGCAGACAAATTTCACCCATATTTATTCAAATCTTTATCAAATCCTTGCTAAATTAAATTAAATTAAATATGACTGCCTGGTAGCATTTTTTTCTTTTTGAATGAACCAGTCTAACTTCTAACTCCACTGACTTATGACAAATATCTTGTTACCTTATTCAGGAATCCTTTCAGTACTGACGCAGCTTTCACAGACAAAGACCTGGGGATGCGGATAGTCTTCTCCAGGATGACTGTAATAAAGAGAAGTCGCATTAGGTAAATGACTCACCAAACATGCAAACTAAGATACTTTTTGTTATTTTCCCTTTTTAACACCAAATTAAATTCAGCCTTGAAGATATTCCATTTTCTGCACAGTTTAGTCCAACCAATAAATTGGCCTTTTAATACAGTGTACACATGGAGGGAATCCAGACCACAGTAACGCATCTATAAGCTGGAGGAAGAACCACAAGTTTGATGTCATAAATTTGGGAAAACTTGGGTCAATTTTTGCATCCATACCTTGGAATAAATAATCTTCAGTATTTTGGTCTGGGTTTTCAGCACCCCCTACAATATCAAACGGTGACCTTCCTGCCATCATCTCATACATAAGAACACCGAGGGCCCACCAATCTACGCTGAAATCTGAAAGCAGACGACATTTCACTGATTTTGTTTTTTTCACTCTAATATACTAATTTATTCAAAAAGACATCATATCCAAATTAATTCTTAATAAATAATCTTTTTTTACATAATAATCTTTTTCCAAAAACATAGTATTTTTCACTTAATTGTGAGAAACTTAAAAATACACATTAATCAACAACAGCAATTTTCCTTAGCTCTTCTCCTATAGCACAAAAGGGGAAATAAATGTAGAAAAAAATAAACCATATTACTATAAGTATAACAGAGACAGAGTTATCAATTTATATTACGTTCATTCACATAAATTAAATGTAAAGCAATGAACAAAACAAAGCAAACAAAGGTGGATAAAAACTTGCACAAAACAACAGCAGGTATAAAAAGCAAATAACATGGAATTCTGAAGGTTAACTTCAAAATGAAAGATGATAAAGAAAAATCCTGATGCAGAATGATAAAAAAATTCACTTTCAACAATACTCGAATTGGAGAACCATCTGGCAATGCTTTGAAAAATATCTTGTGTAATCTTCCAACAGGCGAATTCATTGACAACTTCATCTCTTACCCCATGCCGTTACAGCAAAGTCACAGACAATAAGTGTTTATGCCCTGATGCAGTAGTCGACATTACGTAACTTATAAATGCATACCCTGACATCATCAAAGTGTGAGTAGCAATAGTTAATATCACTGCAAACAAGTACAATTTTTTTCATTTTGAATTTTAAAAGCATTTGCTTCATATAATCCTGTATTTTTTTTTATAAAAGAGAACATTTGCTTGAATTTGCCCACGAAACAATTTTAATTCGTGCAATTATTTACAGAAAGAATGTAGTTAAAAAATACAGGAAAGTAATTTGGATTGACTAATCTTTCCTATTTTAATTTTCATGTACCTGAAGCATACCACTATTTTGTCATGCCAAATCTCAATTTTGAGTACACATTTTGAGAAAATCAAGCAACAAGAGCACATAAAAAGGCATTTGATTTCTTATTATTTCAATATACAGAATATTCACTTCTCTGATTAACCATCTGTTTGCATGCTATACTCAAGAACTGATTAAAATATTTCAAGGAAACCAAGCAGCAAGAGCACACGGCAAGATGTTTTTTCTCAATATATTTTTTCATTCATCTACTACCGTAGTCTTCTCCGCGTAATATTTCTGGAGCTATGTAATTAGGAGTCCCACAGAACGTGGAAGTGGTTTCTCCCGGGTACAGACCTTCCTACAATGCAAGCATCGATATGTGCCTACAGTGAAAGTAAAAATAAAAAAGAAGACAAATGGAAATAATAAATAAATAAATAAATAAATAAATAAAAAGAAAACATCCAAAAGAATCTTTGAGGAGATTAAGCAGTTGAACTGTAAGGGAGTTAAATTGTCTTACAAACATTTTAAATTTCCATCTCCTTTTTTTTTTCCTTTCCACTTGGCTGATAATTCAAATTAGCAACATAACTTTTACATTGCTTACATTCACAACTTTTCATCCAGAATTTAAAAAACCTTTCCATCACAAAAATTGTCTTGACAACCAGCCCCACCTACAGTTCAAACTCCCATCTCCTCAATCATCAATGCATGGTAACAATACAAACCATAATCTTCCCCTCTCAACATTTCTGGGGCGATGTAATTAGGTGTGCCACAAAACGTGCTTGTACTATCTCCTGGCCGGATACCCTCCTGAAAAGAAGCCATGCAAAATGCATTTACATGCCATATACAAAGCATGCTAGAAGCAGTTGGCTATATAACCATGTCAGGTGGTGACCAGTAGCAATGGGCTATAAACTGGGACAGATGGTGACCATTAACAGTGGGCACTAAACTGGGACAAGTGGTGACCAGTAGCAATGGGCTATAAATTGGGACAGGTGGTGACCAGTAGCAGTGGGCTATAAAATAGAACATGGTGACCATTAACAGTAGGCACAAAAGTAGGGCAGGTACCAGTGGGCTATGAACTGGGACAGATATTGACCAGTAGCAGTTGGCTATGAACTGGGACAGGCAGTGACCAGAAGCAGTGGCCCTTAATCTGGGATAGGTTGTAACCTGTAGTTTTGGGCTATGAACTGAGACAGGCGGTGAGCAGTAGAAATGGGCTACTGGGACAGATGGTGACCAGTAGAAGTGGGCTTTAAACTGGGACAGGTGGTGACCAGTAGCAGTGGGCTATAAACTGGGACAGGTGGTGACCAGTAGTAGTGGGCTATAAACCGGGACAAGGGGTGACCAGTAGCAGTGGGCTATAAACTGGGAGAGGTGGTGACCAGTAGCAATGGGATATAAACTGGGACAAGGGGTTACCAGAAGGAGTGGGCTATAAACTAGGACAGGGAAAGACTTTATGATATACAGAAAAAATAAACCCTTCATTAAAGACACCCTGTATACATTTCAAGGCAAGAATGCATATTTCTCAATAGCAAGCAAAAGTTTGATTATTTGTGTCAAAAATACTGTTATTTTGTACACACAAATCAAAATCTTTTGTAACAAAACGAGAATACAAACACATTTTTCATCACGGTTATGCTGAAAAACATCTGTTTATCACACAAACACAAACTCAATGTTCAAAACAAATCATGCTTTGATGTTAAAATTCTTAAAGTGAGGTAAGCCCAAACACACTCTGTTGAAACCATGATACAAAATGTCTGTAAATATCAGATCTCCAAAACAGAAGTTGGTCTGAGAACACAAGCAAATGAGACTAATATGCCTATAATACAATACAGTAGCGACTTCTTCTCTCAGCACTGGCATCTTTATCAAGCATAATTAGCAGATGTTTTTTACATTTTGAAAATAAATTCATAATATACATTATTTTTATCATTATCATTATAAAAAGAATCTAAAATACAAAGTATATAGATCATAGAGCATTTGATTTCATCACTGATCAAAACATATATTCATATCACTCATTGCAACCAGATATTAAAATTAATTTTTATCACTGACAACAGACAGCTAATACCAAGACTAAACAGGCTTTTCACCTATGATAAAAAATCTATGCTACCCATTGATGAGGAAAAAAACACTTAGGTTACCACCTAACAGAGTGCAAATGAAAGTAAAATGCTTTCAAAAATATATTGAAATACTAAGAAAGGAAAAAAAATATTTCTTGGTATCTAATCTCGCAGTGGTCTCATTTGCCTTACCTTGCACATGCCATAATCTGTGAGTTTTATGTGGCCCTCAGAGTCCAGAAGGACATTGTCTAACTTCAGATCTCTGTAGATTATCCCTGGAAATAGAACAGACAGTCAATAATCCAACTGTGACCTAAGCATGACCTTTGGAGAACATGAGGGCACTGTGTGACCTTCAAAGTACAGAACATTATCTTCAGATTTAAGAAGAACAGTTTAAGACCTTTAGTATGATAGTCAGTAGGTGACCTTCAGTGTGAAGGTCAGTAGGTGACCTTCATAGCCAAGGAGGACAATATGTGACCTTCAAAAGTCCAAGAGAACATTATCAAATTAATATATCATAAACACATTGTATTTCATATCAAACACTTTCACCATCAAACTAACCATTTATCATATAAAATAAATTAGTAATCTAAATTATATACTGTTGACTGCACAGCAAATTTTACTTGATAAACTTTTCTTTAATTCCCCATTCTTAACTCAAAATTCACAATGTCATTTGTTTTCCTAGAAAACCAAACCACTATGCAAAGTAAATTGCATATGTTTCATGTTAAATTACCCCTTTCATGAAGAAAATTGAGTCCCAGTATAATTTCAGCTGCATAAAACCTGGCGTGTTCCTCGGGCAAACGTCTCTGTCGCTGCATATGAAACATCAGATCTCCACCATTGACAAACTCTATGACAAAGAACAGCCTGGAAAACAGGAATATCATTTACAAGGTTACCATGTACACAGCCTAGTTGGAGCATGGGAATAGGGTAGTATATTAAGATGCAACAGTGTGGGTGGAAAATAATGAGTGATTCAATTTTTTTTAAAAATTACAATGAGTTTAAAACTAACAACTTGTTATTTTCTATTATTATTTTTATTATCTTCATCTTCCTCCTCATCATTTTTATTATTATTACTGATAACAATTATTATTTTTAGTTGAAGTGGCATTATCATTACCACTAGTCCAAAAGATATATGGATCAATCATGTCACAATTTTTAGTTAGAAGGTACAAAATCAATTCAGTGATCACAAGAACATGCATGTTACTTAGTAACATTTTTCTTACTTCACTACACAGAACAGTAGATTAGGGTCTGTCTCAACTATAACAATGGGATTCCCATCTTAACTAATGAGCAGAACAACAAGCTTGATACCCTTTACCTACTCAGTGTCTGGAAACAAGAGTGGAACTCTTACCAGTAAGGAGTCAAGAAACAAGATTGGAACTCTTACCTGCTAGGAGTCTGGAAACAAGAGTGAAGTCCCACAAGGAAAGGATGATTGGATGCTGTCTCAAATACATGTTTTTCTGTTTGGACCCAGTCTATATCCTGTAGTAATAAAAGATTAATAAATTAAATTTAACAACATTTTTAGATATTTTGTACATGTAATAAAAAGTGACAATCAGATATAGTTCAGGATATTTCACAGTCATCAAGCAGCTATCAAGCCACCAGAGCCAATCCAAAATTTATCTTAACAATTATATGCTCCTCCCTTTGCCCAATTAAAGCCAGGATTTAAGTCACATAAAACTTTTCCAGTTTCCCTTACACATCAAATACCTTTACCTGTTGATGTCCTTCCCTATATGCTGAATTCTAGTGGAATAGAAGAGCAATTTCTTTTTTAAATATCACACTTAGTGTATCTCAACGAGCCGAGTGACAACACAAACAACTATTCTTATTCCACTTGTATTTCTACCACTTCCTCCCTACCCATCTCCCCTCTTTCCAACTACCTACTCTGTGTGTCCACGGTCTTTTTTAATCTGGAACACAGTGACAGAAGAAGTGAAAGGCACTAGATGCACTTTTCCACGTGTGCATGGACAAAGAGCTCATTTGAATTGAATATGAAGCACCAATCTTAGGTCCTTACCTCATCGTCATTGACCAGCTCTTTCTTGATGACCTTCATGGCATAGATACGTTTTGTTTTCTTCAGCTCCACCTGGAGGACTTTGGCATAACTACCTCGTCCAATTACACGTAGCAACTCAAAATCTCTTAGGCTGATGGCTCCTGTTGCTGTCTCTGTAGCAGTGGTCTAAAACACATAATAAATACCTTACATGTATAAAAGTAAAGTTGGTGGAATTTAGGAATGCATTAGAGCAAATGTGCACAAGTGTGTCTTAGTCCAACTTTGAAAAGTTCTGTTTTGGTGTGACTTTTTTAAACAAATTTGGAGATTCTCAACTATTCTGAAGAGATATCTTTTGGCTGCACACATTGTTTTTGTAGAAATAACCACAGTCTCCCAAATTTTTCAACATTAATGGATTTGACAATGTGACAAAATTACACTTCTCCATGTTCTCTTTAAATTTGAATGAACTTGACTTTATAGGTGAAGACAATAATAATAATAATAATAATAATAATAATAATAATAATAATAATAATAACAATAATAATAATGTAAACAATACCTAATAAGCATTATGTTACACTTTAAAGCTTTATGTTATTTGTCTCATATATATATATATATATATATATATATATATATATATATATATATATATATATATATATATATATATATATATATGCCAGTAGAATAAAATGAATTAGACTTAGTTCAATGTTTCAAAATGGGAATGAAAAGGATGTTATGCTTCCAAAAATTTTAAAGAAAAAAATTAAAAAATATAGGGTTAGTTTTGAAAATTAACATGAATTTGAAATGCCACAAAGCTATAAAAAATTATTGATCAGAAGTTTAATATGCAATGAACAAAATTGTGCCCAATCCAGTCTTTATTATAAAATCACCAATGAATATATTAGGTTTAATAAGTTACACGTTGATCATTTTTTGATTGATAAAAACTTTCAACTCCAAGTAAGTGTTAAATAAAAAACAAACAAAAATAATAATAAAAAAGATGTTGCATCTTATGTTGGTTTAAAAGCAGGGTACTACTTTTTCATTAATGTAAAATCATGAAACAAACATCTTTTCATATCACAAATCAAGTAAACCTGTCAAAGCATATATATAAGTTTTTTGCAAGAGAGCAAATTTAAGGGAGGCAGAGTACAAAGTTATCTGACCACTTCAGATTAAAATCATTATTAAGCGATTATTTCAAATATTTACGGAGCATGATACCTCATCTTCCAGTGATTCTGAATTTTCCACAGTTTCTACTTTGGTGGTCTAAGGAAATAAATATCAGAGTAAGAAAATTATCATTCCTACACCAAGAACAAGTTGGTTATCTTTCTAGTTAAAGAGCAAAGGTGAAAGAGGTCAACAGCCTGGGGGGAGAGAGGAAAGCATTTTTTTGCACAGAATACCCACACCATTATTAGTACATGCTTATTAGTACATGCACCTTGTATTATGCTGTTGTAGTGCACATGGCAACTGATCCATTGAGGAAAAAAACATGCTTGAAAAAAGCCACATGCTTTTGGCAGAAGCAAGTGAAGTAAGGGCATGGGCCTCTTTACCAGCGCCAGACCCCCCCCCCCCCACACACACACACACACACACAAACTGAATCTGCCCATTATGCTTAACACTTCAGAAAGAGTTAGGCAAAGAGCTCAAAGACGATTCAACAGACCTTCATGCATGACATGGTATGTAAGGTTGTGCAGAAGGGTATTTTTTATCATGCTGGTATAGTCTTTTCACTGTAGACAAAACATGTAGCCCAACACTAAGATAAAAAGCTAATACAAAGAAAAGTGAGCCTCACACATTTGAGATTCTATTTTAAATCTTTGCGAAGAACTAAACACATTTGCCTCATAAACAATTCAAACTCAACGTTTATGAAAAGCAAAAAGGTACGAAAATGGACTGCAATAAGTGTACTGAGAGAACCAGGCAAACCAAGCACTACAAAATGGTATCAGATATAAGCCACACAAGTGTGGGGTAGTTGCCATTATTGCAATGGTTGCGACTTTTCCCTGGATTGTGATAGGTTTAACCCTTGATTGTGCTCACTGTCTCATTAACATGATTGTGATGAGTGTGACATTTCCCAAAATTGTGTTAGGTGTGACATTCTCTGGAAATGTGTTAGGTGTGACAGTCTCCCGCATTGTGTTATTTGAAGCTAAAAACAACTATGGCACTGATACCAACCACACACACATATACAATGGGTTCAGAAAATGTGAAGCACTTGACTGCCAGGTAAGCAAATTTCCATGCTCATGCACAAAACATCATTGAATTGAAATGTTCCCAAAAAGTTACACGTATAACACCAAAATCAATTTATTTTCTAAACTGTTCCTTTATCGATGGCAATGCCACACAGAAATATGTAAATTTATGTAAAAACATTGCCTGCTTTAAATACAAATTGTTCTAGATGTGTTCTAGCTGTAAGTTAGATTCATTTCTAATGTGCAAAAGATATATTAACTTGTTCTAAGAAAACAGTGTTACTTTCTAAGAGAGTATAGATTAATAGTTGTTGATGCAAGGCAAAATTAAAAGCTTCACTAGAAAAGAATCTCATCTACTTTATTCAAAAGATAATATTTTTCTAGAGAATTCCATCTTTCCCTTAACCTACCTCTGGTGCTTCAGAAGCATCATCCATGGATTTACTTGGAGAATGGCCCCTAGGTGTCGCCTCTGTGCCATTGTGACCTGGCATAGGTGGAAGTGACGAGGATGAGGTCAAAGGTCGGATTGTGTGTTCCTAGAATGAAGGTTGTGCAGCCTGTTGTAATATGCATGATATGTGACATGTTGTAAGGAATTACTGATCTGGTTCTGAAGACTAATGGTTTTAAATATGACTGAGCAAAACTTCTTGGGTCTTTTATTTATAATACTTTGAAGAGGTTAAAGCGTGCCATTCAGTTTTCTATGCACTTATCTATGACTGATACGGAAATTGCAATCGTGCAATATTATAATTTATTTAGCAAAATTCAAATTTTGGGAGAGAAAGTCCACCAAAAGATATTCATCAGCTGTGCCAGGAATTTCAACTTATAACAGTGGTGAAAATAATGAGTTTAGTTGTTGTTTAGAAAACTATTAGTTAAATCTTAAGTGCAATTTAAGAGAAATTTTACAAACCTTTTCACTTCAAAAATAACATTGCTAATTCATCTCTTTAAGCTTTCATTTCTGTTTTATAGATATGAATTTTTTTAGTTTTAGACTTACTAGTAATAAAATGTATTAATATAAATTCTGTAAGGCTAAGCAGCACTGAGAAGTATGTGTAGCAAGGTTTAAAGAAGACAATTATCTAATATTATCATTAAACTGCTCTGCAATTGTGTTAGGTGTGATAGTACTGAATGTGACAGACAGTGAGAGTGCAATAATTACCAACTGTGCTTGACAGGTAATCTGGACTAGTTTGTGGCATTTCTTATGAACGAGCAGTTTACATGTGATACACTTGTAACCCTGGCGACCCAGACCCCATATTCTGTCGGAGCAGTATGCACAGAATGCCCGCTGAAATATATAGGACAACCGTTTCACAAATTGGAAAACATAAAATTTCTATCCTTACACATACAACAGACACAATGAATAAATAAATGAATGAATAAATGAATAAATAAATGAGTTTATGGACAGATGGCTGAATGAATGAATGGATCAATATATATAAAGAAAAATTCACAACATATTACATATAGAATGTGTACAAAATTTGTATTATATATATTAACTTTTAATTTGATTGATACAAACTGACATATAAATGAATGAATGCTTAGATCTGTCAATTTTTGCTAGTATGTATCCTTCTGACAGACAGGATTACCAGAAATACATATACATATATACCGACACAATAAAACCGCACCACTTTATAATTATGCACAGTTAGCTGCAATCGTTATTAGCTCTTTTGGACATGCAAAAACAATTATATTTATAATAATAATAATAATAACTGTAAACAACTATTTTTTTTCCTCAATTTTGGCCTACTTACTCTACTGAATCTCTTGGCCTGGAAAAGATGGCCGTTGACACGATACAGCTTTCGCCATCTGCGTGCACCTCTTCTGTACATATTTCCTGGAAATCGTAGCAGATGCAGCCATGAGCACATAGTCATTATAAAGACTGTATACAGCATCGTCCAAGAATATAGGCCTGAGCAAATTGCCTCTTGTCAGAGCAACCTTGTAATATCACATCCTACAATCCTTTGTGCAATATAAAAGGACTGAGAGAAAAATCCTTCTCATATGCAATTTCCTCCAAATGACTTGATGTACATGATCTTCATTTTTGATTGTTAGTGTGATTTGGCAGCAAATATATGAAATATCTAAATCTTAAGTATCTCGTATTTCAGTCTCCCTTCTTCCAGAATAATTTTCATGTGGCAAAAAATGACACCCTCAAAATACAAAGCCTTATCTATATCAGCAACCAGGGCATCTAATACTGAAACCTCATCTCACAGTTTTCCTTCCCTATTAGTGTAATTACTCATGATTTTCCAGCTAATAATACTGCCATATTAGAACAGTGTTACAGCTCATCATGCTGAGAACACAGGTGCAAGCCCAGGTGTGAGGAGCGTCATGCTGTGTAGTGCCACCTACAGTGCAAATCCTACATACAGTCTGCTCTTCCTATTCAGATACCCTTTTCTATTCATTTTTTTTCATTGACAGGTAGAATTTATATACTTCCCATAATTTGTTTGCCAATGCTCAATAGCTAAACCTTGTGACTGTATAATATCATTATCTATATGGCAGCTGAAGAGAATGTGGTCCTCCCCTTTCAGTTATCAAATTCAACTGTATGATAGGCTGGTTTTCTTATCAATATATAATATTATATCCATTTTTCAGACATACACCATTAAAAGGTCACATAATTCATTTTAGGAGGAATGAGAAAGGATGCAATTTTTTAGCAGCGAAAAAAAAAAAAAAATACTTTTTTTTTCAAAGTCCCTAGATAATGTCTAGACACATACTTATGGATAGGATGCATCAATGCAATATTGCTGAACAAATATGTCATCAAATTTATAGGAATTTTGAACAGTGAAGGATGTATCCATTTCCTTTGGAAAACAGCTCCCCCAGTCTCAGTGTTATGATTTATGTTTCATAAGTCACAAACCTCTCATGTATCAGTGATGAATAGTCACAAAGCGATGGAGTTTTTCTATCAAAACGTCATGAGTATACATTTTTAAAGCAAAATCACATTTCCCACAGATAATTTGACAAATGAAATATCAATACCATAAATAGTCTGTCTGTCATTTAATGTAAACATGACAAATGCTTTTTATCTCACTCTGGTCCCTTTGCCTTCTCTTTTGCATTTTCCATATCAAATATTTGCCTCGGGATATTGTCACTTTCCTGAAAACCTTTTGTGCTATCAGAAGTCTCCATTCTGTAGACCATTTGTATGCAGCACATAAAATACCAAGTTCATGCCCCATTATTGTTTTGAGTGAGTTTCTATTATAAAAACTAAGGTAGCTGCCAACGTGTGGATGAGAATGATATAAATGTTATTTCCAGCTCTGCCTCTTGTTATTGAATAAATCAAATTTGTCACAAAAACATGACATTCCAGTAGAACCACAATATATTGAGGGGGGGGGAGGCTTCTTGAAAAATGTGTTTATAAAGCAAAATGATATATTCACATGAAAGTTGCATATATTCTACAACAATGATTTCTTCCCCACCTCCTTCCCAAATTTATCTGACAGTTTTCTTTTTTAAACCCACTTAACTACAAGCACAGTTTTACTTGCCAAAAAGTGTCAAGATCAATAATAAGACAACAGTTCTTTCAAAAAAAATAATCTCATTTGGGACTTCACTGGCTAAATATGTTACAACTGGGGAGAGTGGTGAAGATAACAAATGCTGAATGACGTTTATATTAGCTGAACAGAAAAATTCATTTAGGGTTGGCATAAATAAAAGCCAACTTGATTGACCAAGCATCAATCAGCAGACATATTGTACTTTAATTTCTCTTTTATGTTTAATTGGATTAATTGGGATGGGGAAGATATGAATGGCATTTGTAAATTGTCAAACCATTCATATTAATTTATTCATAACGCCTAAGACAAGTGCAGTGTCGAAGACACTCAGCGCTAAGATTTTCTAAATAAATATATAAATAAAAACTGACTCATATGTTGTTTGCATTGATGAAATAAATATTATGTTTACAAGTATTTTTTTTCAAGATTTTGTTGCTCTAAGTTTAAACTAGCACTACTTGGGTTTGGCCAGTGGCTTTTGCATAATTTACTAGTCTAGAAAAAAAATTGCTGGGGTAGTGCTAACACTCGCCAATTTAGCCAAATGCTAAAACTTACTTAAATTGGCTAAAGAAAAAGGGCTTGATTTGACTTGTTTTAGTCAAATTTTAACCATTTTGATAACAAATTAACAAAAAAGTGGTGATATGGCTAAGCGAAAAAAAAAATTGCTATAATAGAAGATGCTATAATAGGCAACTTTATCTTTTCAGCTCACAGGTCACTTGGTCCAATATGACTTCTAACTTAAACAATTTTTTTTTTTGGGAGAAGAGGGCTTGTGTGACTTTTAATCTTCCGGTCAATTGTCTCGAACAAGTGGACAAGGTGATACACCACTTATACATAAGTCCGCCAATATCATCTACTTCACTGAAAATTTACCAATTATAAAAAAGAATAGTACTCACTGTCCTCCCCAATACAGGGGTATCCTGGCTTCTCAGGAACATTTGGAAAAACTGGAAATAAAAGTACCTCTGCTTTATTATTGATGAAATAAAAGCTTATTTAACCAATCATATCACAGAACTAACAGTAAGCTTCAGTGGTGGTAAAGTTGTGAATTTTACAGATACTTTTTTAAAAGTCATAATCCCTTAAAATTAGAACATTCCTATTGAGAGGTAGCAACAAAATTAAAAAGCAATACACTCTAAACTTCTACTGTAATATTCTATGCAGTAAAAACACCACATATACTATACAGAAATAATTTTGTGATAGTAAAATTATGTATCTGAAATTCGACAATTTTTGCCCCCCCCCCCTCTCTCTCTCTCTCTCTCTCTCTCTCTCTGGACTGTTCTTTTTTTTTTTTTTGTTCTCCTGTTACAGATTTGAAAAGATTGCGGAATTACCATAAAGGACAACTATGGAGTACTAACAGTGACTATGTATCTTTACTAGTATGCAACAAGATCATCAGCAGAAATATAAAGAGGCAGGTAATATATCATTCTTTTTCACAATTCTCTTGAGTCCATTTTCATAATTGAAAAAAAAAAAGTTGCAAATAATTTTTTATCTGGATCCACTGAGCCCATGCTTACACACAAAATGTTCATGAAATGTTGAAGATATTTAATTTACCATGTACTTTATGACATTCCTTTTAGAGATATCATCAATGATTTGGTGAAAACGTTCCAATAATTGACTAATGGGAGATATCCATTTAGATGTTTGCGCAAAAGATTTTTTTCAATGTGCAGTAATGCCCTATAATTTGGCAAAGTTCTCCCTCTTATCATACCTAAGTTTTCGTTAACTCCTATTTTTCACTGTCTCCATGGAGGCGAGATGTTCAATTTCATCAACTCTGAGATAGTTGAGGGTTTTATTTCATTAGCACTAGGATGTTATCTGCAGACATACACTGAGCTCAGTCTCCGCTATTGAGTACTTTCTCAAGATAACATGATTCATGGGTTTATGAACCAAGGTATGTCTATCTGGGCGGAACGAACCAGACGGCTCAAAATGGCGTGATGTGGTATGATGTAATCTTGGATGTTCAAGTGCTGTGAACACTCACTATCAATTATCTAAATTAACTATTAAATATTTCTGAATTATATTTTCTAGTTGTGGGGAAAATTCTTATTGGTTTTCACATTGCCCTTATTCTGGGCTGGGTTTTTCTTGAAACTTTTTGTTAAACATGCACTGGTACATCACTAAATCCTGATTTTTTTTACCCATCATTTCCCCCTCCTATTCTCTATATCTTAAAGTTCCCCCTCCCCCACCCCCATCCCACACACACACACATACACCCTCAAAAAAATAATCTTTACTAGTAATAACATTTTGTTGTGCCAGACAGCAAACCATCCTCAAGACATGGATCACAACTTGAATACTGATGGCCATCTCTTGAGAAATAACATCAGTCACATGAGCTTTTTGTTTAACATGGGCCATTAACCACATCTCCATGGCTCATTGGGCAATTAACTCAGATATCTTCTTCACAAGTGCATTCAGAAAAACTGACTAACAGCTCCGCAGTTCAAATATGGCGACCCATTTAAAAGCTTGCCGCTTAATTCCCGATTAGACACGAGTAGATTCCCTGCAGGGATTACACAACAAGCATTCAAATGGGTTGTCCATATTTGGTCCATGGATCTGTTAGTCAGCTGTTCTGAATGCGCTGTATGTATGTGCACTGATATGCCATTCTTATCATTAGTGTCATCTCAGGGGTAGCCATTCAAGTAGAAAATTTTAACAATTGTACATTTCAAAATAGGTTTTAAAACCTTGCGTAAATCCATTACCATGATTCAAGGCTCACACATCAATAACTTCACATCTCTAAAACCCACAAGGCAGAAGTTAATATTGTCAATACTTCAGTATCATCTTCTAATGGCATGGGAAACTTACTGTGTATGGTGATCTCGGAGTCCTTGTTCACTTCATACAGTCTGATGGCTTCTTCTAACTCTATCTGAGAAGACACTGTGCAAGGGTCACCTGAAAGAACAAGATAAAAGATAAAGTGACAATTTACTTATAGTATATTTATATTGTTATAGCAATCCAAAACTTTCTAACTTAGTCTGAGAGTGCTACATCATAGTAGCCAGAAAGAAAATAAATATTCGTGTGCGCATAATTATGTATATGTGTATGTGCTCTTGCTCACACACCACACACGCTCACTCTACTTTATTTAAAAAGCTCCTTTTCTCTCCCTCTGTGTGTGCGTGTGTTACCCTCCAATGTACAAAAATGATAAGTACGTGCTATCATATTGTGTTAGCTGTGAAAATGTGACAGTTGTGACATTGCTTTTATCACAAATCACACTGACAGTGGCACATTCATACAGCAGTGGTGGGGAACTAAGACTGATACAAAAGTTTGCATATAAGTAATAGATGGGATCTAGAAGACAATAAAACCAGTACTGATGTTTTTAACAAGGAATCATGATACAGTGCTTTTGATGGTTAAAACTGAATCCCCATATTAATGTGCATGTACCATCCATTATTACTAGTAAGTGGATACATCCAAAGCAGAAGTGACTCATAATACTATGAAAAATGGACATTATCAAACTTCAAAAGCTTATAATTTATTAATAAAAGTAACAATATATGTTGCTTTTTTGCCTTGTCAATGTTGTGTGTCAGTTTACTCATGCTATTTTTGCAATAATAACTCAAACACCCATACTAGCATACATATAAAGACGACAAAAGATTCAACCTAATTTATAACAATGAAAAACATAATATATTCCCTGACCTTCAACTTCATCATTATCGGAGAGAAGTTCATCTTTCAGTGTCAGAGGGCTGCAGAAAGTCAGTACAGATATGGACCTCCGAAGCCAATGAATCTGGGCCCTGTTGGTGGTGGACTGCACACCATCGCCCCCTACACTCCGACGACGTTTCTGATTCTTTAAGCTCATGTACGAGGTCATGTTGCAGTTAAATACTTCTAATTTTTTCTAGTCAAACACTATTTCGAGCACATCCAAAAATTATCATGAATACAAATTAAAAAACAGATCGCACAAGTCTATGGCTCCTCTTGATCAAGTGGCAAAGCCCTCTATTGTGACATTTTCAAATAGCCTGTCATTTGTCATGATTTCCTATTCTTACAGAAATATTGTCAATATTAAAAATTATAAAAGACTGGCAAGAGGATATCACCTTCAATATTATGACAATGCACAGCAATTATTTCACAAACATATTTATCCTGCTAACTACTAGACAAAAAGTAGTCTTATTGTACCACGCCTTCAGCTTCTTTAGATCATCAACTCCTTTTTTCCTCTAAAATGAACCCCAATGGCAATGTCTTCAGAACTGTAATATCCATAAAGCTAAAAGCTCATCCTTTCATCCTAAGGGTTGCTTGTCACAAATATCTAAATAACTTGTTGTATCCTCTGAGGCATGTACTAGTAGACTGGTAAAAATAAATCCCCGTATTCGAAAAATATGAATACTAGTAGCCTCTATGCACCTTCTTTCCAGAAACAGTCCAAGTACATAAATGTCACCGATATCCAGGGAAAAGCTCTGTTTTAATAACAGGAACATATGCTACTTCATTCAGGGCTACAATAAGTATAATAAAAATCAATAATTTTTTTTTTCTATTTGGCAAGCTCAGGTGCTGGATTCTTCAATAAAATGCTGTGACCAGGATAACTTCGGCCTCACATACATGAAAGTTTCCCTGTAGAATTGCAGCAAAGCCGTGGCGTCAGTGAAACAGAAACAAGCTTCACTTTTATAGTGAAGTGGCCCTTGGAATGCCAAGCAGTGTCCAGCATAGAAACTGATTTGTCACATGTACATCACAAGGCTTGTTATGACACAAGACCATCTCTCTTGCATGTCCATAATTAACAGACTATTAGGTACCGTGGAAGAACGAGAACTGCTCAATGTGCTTGATTCCTTTTCACTGCACTCTCATTTCAGATCATAATGACTCATAAATTGCACAATAGCCTGTATGTGTATATAAACACATTCATCTAACATGATGGCAGCAAGTAATTTGACTTCATTCAATCACATCCATGCACTTTCAATACATTATAGATTTTTTTTTTTTTGAACCGCACAAATTTTACCAAGATGCAGGAGTAAGTGTTATAACTTGCTCACACCAACACATCAGGAAACCTACAGATGTCTTAATGGACAACTGCAATTACTCTAAGTGCTTTTTGCTGGAGTAGAGGGCTGACTGCCTCACCGCATATTTGAATATACCAGTAATGCCATTTGGCCATTATGGTATGTTTTACAGATGTTCAAACAGGAACTACTTCCTTCGGCTTCAATGTTAAAAAAAAAAAAAAAATGTCAGGTGTGTTGACCTAAATAGATGCCCAATGAAACATCATCCTCTGGTATTTGCAGTATCACACGACATTTTCTTTAAGAAGAGATTCACACCCCTGAAAAAGTCTATTTCTGTAGTCTTATTAACTGTATATATATATATATATATATATATATATATATATACAATGTCAAAACACGTATGTACACTTCTTTAATTTACAATTGCAATCACTGAGCAGTGTTTCCCCTCGTGGCGTGGTGGGTTGTTGATAGCAACAAGAAATCCAATTTCATTTTTTGTTTGTTCAGTTGGGCATCGCAAGCTATAATCTGTCGTGACATTTTCATGCAATGTGAAAAATCCAATTCTTTACATGCATAATCTGTACTTGGACACGATTCAAGCTTAGGAACTTTCATAACACAAACTTGTCACACAATCTAGTTGCATACATCAGTTGCAACAATAACAGCATTACAATGTTGCTATCATTCCGTAGCAGTTTGTATTTTCCACATTCAGTGTTTGTTTTCAAAGACCCATCTCTATTGTATTTATAATTTTGTTTCTTCACTCTGATGCATCACTGCTATAATCTAACTTTCAGAGATCCCTTAAAGTAATCACTCTGTTGGTTTTCTTTCCCCAGTAATACATGACAAGTAGTTACTCCGAAGCCTGTCTCTAATTCACACTCCAAGGAATGAGTGCCTGGACCATCTGTTTATCCTTCATAATCCACCGTGTCAATATTACATCCCGCATGCACAGTGAAATTACTCTTTTATAGCTAAATTAACAGTTACAGTTCTGAGTCCGCCACATGCTGTTCTCCAAGACCGGCTCCACTAAAGTGTCTCCGTCATCTGATGATAATGTGCTGCATCAATATATCACTCGCACACAACAACTGTGAAAGTTCTCTTTTTGCCTAATTATCAGACAGGGACCGTCTCTGCATCACGCCCAGCAGTCGCTCTGCTGAACTATTTATCACCCCATTATCCCCTCACACCAGTCGGCAATCTGAAAATCCATAAAACTCTGGCCAAACTCGAGTGCAAATTGATATTTTATATCTCGGGGTTCGTTGGAGTAAGAATCTATGGGAGATTGTGCAATGTGAAGACAGCAGATATTGCCAGTCTCCAGTGACGAATCTGTGGAGAAATTTTAGATTGTTGTGTAATCAATCAAAAAAGAAGAAAAGTCGGGAGAATTACTCCTGGTGTTGCTAACAGCTTATTCTAGATCTGTATTCAGCATCTTTGTGAAACCGCTGGTCTCCAATTATGTAATTTTTTTAACTCCTAGTTTTTTGCCAAATGACATACTAAACTGACATATTATTGATTTTTCTTTTCCTTTTCAAACCAAAGAAAATTGTTTTAAATAACTATTCAGTGCACAGGTCAAAGAATCCATGTCCAATACCCCAATATAAACAAGAGAGAATACATATATTCTAGTCACTTGGTAAGGTGTAACTAACCACTAATCACAGATTATGTCTGAATGTCCCATGCTTCTTCCCACAACAAGATGTTCATTTCATTCTACAAACTCCTTATGGCAAAAGACACATTTCTACTGCGTGCTTCATCTTTATAATTTGCCATCTGGAATTTTCTCAATCAATAAATCTGATATCCTGCTTGTTTCAAATACAGTGAAAATTCAGCCAATAAATTTTTAACACTGGTGCTGGTATTTCCTTGAAATAAAGAGTAAGCACTCGTACAATCACATGCTAGTAGCATTCTGTAGTGAAGCTCCTTCAGCTTATAACTCTGTCTGGAGTATTCCTGGAATCTGGAACCCAAACTTTTAAAACGAGCACCAACAACACATGCAGACTAATAAGAAAGTTTTGAAGTTCATGGGTTATTTCTGTCAGGAAATTGTAGGTTTTTTCACTTCATCTTCCAACTTTTTTTTTTCCTTAACTAGTTACAGGTACTCAATCATTCAAAGCGCCAGTAGAAGTTCAGGTGTAAGTGCCCCTCGGAAAATTCCAGGTCGCTTACCCAAACATCCAACTATTTGAATGCAGCATAAGTGCACATTCATAATATGAAAGCTCATGCAAAAATCCTGTCAGAAATTTCTCATCAAATGTAGCGATTCTTATCAAAGCAACCCCTGCTTTTGAAGCAGCATTTTCCCAGCATTCATCATTCCACAGCTAGCTCTCTGTACGCGTTTCACGGTGCGCACTTGGTTGAAGGCTCAACCCAATACCAGTGTACTTCATTGATAAATTGTTTCGAACATTTCAGGATTGTCTGCCACACACCTTTTGCTTGTAAGAAACATATTTTTAGCATGTTTTGGCTCCGTGGGACATGCTGAGTGAAGTTCAAAAGCAATTAGACTCTCTGCCTTAATTTCTCGCAGGTAAATTTAGAACAACTCCTCAATGGAGACAGGTAGACATATCTACCTGACCTTTTTAACTTTTTCTCCAGTAAAAGCTTTCAATGCCCACGTGAATAATCCTTTAAATGTCGTTATCAGTTGAGCATTACTGCCCTCCCTTTTCCCTCCATTTAAAATGCAAATGGTGGCATCCAACTGCAATTTATCTTTTTAATCTAGTGGAAAAATTATCATCTGTACTAGCATGTATAAAGCTCTCTCTCTCTCTCTCTCTCTCTCTCTCTCTCTCTCTCTCTCTCTCTCTGGACTGCTTGTTTTTCTTTGTTTTTTTATACTATTATAGAGGAAAAGATGATCAAATTATTTCATGAATAAGTAACAAGTTCCACAGCCATTAAGATTTGTGTTGCAACCTTGCAAAAAGATACTTACAGTAACTGTATTAGACTATCAATTTTAAAACTGAGGAATTGCTTCTTCTCCATTAATTTTTTTTTTTACTGAATTGTTAGATTTACGCTGGCATGGCACCTGTGGCCCTGTGCCATGCTGGGTAACCTTTTAGCTTCACCACAGGATTCAAAAGTGCAGCCTTCCATGCAGGGTGCATTCACAAATGATCTAACTAAAAACAGAAAGCTTTAAAACCTTTTAGCTTCACCACCTGATTGAAAAGTGCAGCTTTCCATGCAGGGTGCATTCACAAATGATCTAACTTAAAACAGAACAGTCTGATCATGACCAGGGTACATTAGAGCAGAACACAGCTGCTGTGTGAGTCAGCCAGGGATGTATCTGAACCACAAGAGACAGAGAACTATGTGTTATAAGTTAATAAGTGTTTACTCATGTTTTTCTTCTCTCTCTCTCTCTCTCTCTCTCTCTCTCTCTCTCTCCTTTTTAAATACAGCATGTTTTTAAGCATTTGAGAAACATAACATCCATTCAGACCTTTGACTTTTGACTCATATATCTTAAAGGACTAACATACCGCAGTCTGAAATGCCCCCAAAGTCATGATTTTGTTCATAATAGTAGCCAATTCAGACCTTAAAATGATAAAAACCACTCAAATAAGTATTTTTTTTTTTTTTTGGGGGGGGGGTGTCATCTATCTATCTATCTACCTACCTACCTATATATATATAAACACAAGACAATCTTACTAACTGCATGACCAGTCATAAAGAACTGAATCATTCACTAATAGTGCAAATGGGTGTAAAATATGAAGGGATTATAGAGCAGTGGCTTAGGAATAAAAGATAACTATGTTTTTTTGTTATTTAGGAAACTTCAATTTGATGGAAAACCCCCAGATATAATAACTTCAATCATCAGACGTCACTTAATACCTTTTAATTAATCATGAAGACGAAACACACCCACAGTGGAAAAAAATATAAAATAAATAATATACCTCTTAAAAATGACATTTCTAGGCTAAGTAATTAACTCATCACAGTTTAGCACAATTAAGGCTCTTGGCCCTGTGTGACAATCACCTGAGACCTGAAGCATACTAGTACTAGTACAAGAATCATTGTGAGGTAGATTAACCTTTTAGCAGTAATGGTGAAACCAATGTGCTGGGAATGTCATCTTAGGAAGGAACACATAAGTAGCACATAAAACATAGTGAATCCCTAGTGTTGTGCAAAAGACTGTACTAGTAATTCTGCAAAACACATATAACGAGAAGACAACTATAGTACTCAATATTTGTGGATTAATTTTCTCACTTTAAATTTACCGCACTCGCCAGTCAGCTATAATTTCTGACCCTGTTCTTACAAATTCTGTGAAAACTTGTATGAATTTGGGCCATCAGACTTCAGATGATTCTCCTTGCTCTGGATCTTCTAACCCACAGTAAATTAAAACAAAAATAAAATGGTCTTTGTGGTATCTCTACTAGTAACTTTGCCGTACATTCATCCAACTTTCTCAAAATTTGCATCAATATCCCATCTCTTATCAGTGACTCATAGCAGATAACAAAAACATCAATGTTCAATAAAAAGATTTTAAATAGAGAACCAGTCATAATATCTACTAATACTTGCCTGAGGTGTTGCCATAGTTACAGCAAGATAGTCTATAAACGACTTCATCCCAAAGCAAGAATGCTATACTTGCCATATTTGGGGTAACATCTCAAATGTTGTGAACACTTCCGAAACTTGCAACTTTCCTCAAAAACATTTGAAGTATCAGACAGGCTCAGCTGGTGGCATATCACTCACCAGGGGGCTGACCAGCCCAAGATAGGCTACATCCATGTTTTTGCCAAGTAATGTGGACCAGTTCACAAATGTTCAGGCCTACTCAAATATGAACTTGAATTAAATAAAATGCACTTATAATACAAGTTTGATAAAGTCATTGGGGAAAGCGCAAGTCACACAAAATGATGAACATTACTTCACACTTGGGCTGTATAGAAAACCTGGTTAATTCCAAGTTTGCCCTAATTTCCCATAGAAGTGAAATTCAATGTTTCATACTCAGAACAATTTCTTAGAGGCATCAATTAGCTGGACAGTTTTTTCTTAGTGCATCCAAAGAATTAGTCACTGTCTGCAGCAGGCAAACGATAATGCACTGCCGGGCTTCACTGAGACGCTGTCAATACCACACATTAACATTTACGAGCTGAAAGCTCAAACCTTATTATCAAGGCACAGGGTGATAAATGAGAGGATG